CTTAAAAGTTAATAAAAAAAAGTAGATATCTTGAGTACAAAAGCCTGTGATGTTTACTTAGAATCTGCAAAAATTTGTGAAGATACGCTTACTGTATTAAAAGTTATTGTATAAAAACTATAACAAGCACAAAATGATTACGAGGTTGGTCCCTGGGACTGAGCCTGTAGTGAGAGAGTTAAAGGCAGGAAGTGATCCAGGGCTAGACAAACAGCAAGAAGCTCCAGTTTACTGATGTGCAAAACCAACTTGACCAAAGACCAATGACCTACAATTTCCTATGTGTCCATAATTGCTCCCCAACCCATCAGAGAAGTGTCTGTAAAAAGATGCAACTCTGGACGGGGAAGCAGAAGAGGAACACACATCATGATGTTGTCTCTGTTGAGAAAGAGTTCACTGTTCATGCAATACCAACTAAAGGGTGTGTATGTGATCATGAATGAAGGGACAAGAGAAAGAGAGGATTAAGCCTTAAGAACTAATAGCTCCATTGCTCACAAACGAAGTGGAGAAGGTTGGGCCAGACTGAGACAGGAATTGAAATACAGGGTCAGAAGAAGAAAGGACTTCTCCAACTTGACAAGCCTATCCACTCAAGCTACCTCTCAAAAAAGCAACTGGGTGTGCTCTTGTGAGATGTCTGATGGTATGGAGCTAATAGCAGCCAGTCATCCATGTAATGGTGAAACCGCAGACCATGAGAATGAATAAGTCGAGAAAAGGCCCTGACCACCTGATAGAATATGTATGATGCAGATGCCAGACCAAATAGCAAAGTGTGAGGATGGTTGAGAGGGGAAAGATCTATAACAGAATGCCAGTCCCTGGGCTTCATAGAAACTACAAACAACCTGGGATAAAATCCTGGACAAGGACGACTGACAGGTTCTATAGCATCCTTGAGAAGATGAGTCTGAACTACTTTGGAGGGATTCTGACAAAATATAGGATCCAGAGGGAGGAAGGGATGGGATGTGAAGGAAAGGCATGAGGGTTGACAAAATGAAGGGAAAGACCGTCTTACAGCACCTGAAGCACCTAAGGATCTAAGGTGAAATTTTGTACAAACTTGGCTAAACATGCTCCAACTTTGCTAGAACCAACTGAATAGTCACTGGTACGGTATAGGTGGCAGGGTTCTGGCAATGAGTAATTTGGTGGTTAGCCACCAAGACCTGGGAAAGAGGAACAGGCAAAAGGGCAGAAGGAGGAGAGCAGGAAACAGTAACAGAAGCAAGCAAAGGGTGTGATAGGTGAGAAACCAAGAACGAAAGGGAGGGGTTGTTAATAAGCAACATCCACCCTACAAACTGATCAGAATTGACCCCAATATCGGTAGAGGAAGAGAAAACCAGGTATCAAAGGAAGGGGTGAAATGCAGTAGGGAAGGAGAGGAATCATAAGACACAGGGGACATAAACAAAAGGTAATATACCTGTGACACCATTAATCGGAAAGGCTGAAGATGATCTGGAGTTCTCCACAGTTGGAAGATGGAATTGAATGGCAAAGAAAGGAAGTGGTAAGAGGCTATCCATATCATCATCTTCTTGTCCAGGTTCATTAGGAAAAGGAATATCTGGTTTGGGATAAGGATACACTACAGGCCACATAATTTTCTCCAATTCACGATATACTAAAACCGAGACTTCTTCAGTAGAAAGTGTGGAGCCTGAAGCCTGACAAACTGGAGGTTGAGATGCAGTATTAGTGTGAATTACTGTGGTAGTAGGAGTGATTTGAAATTCAGAATTCAACTGTGAGTGGAAACAAAGTAAAACCTGCAGTGACTCTAGTCTAAAAAAACAAAAACAACTAAGTTGTTAAAAAAGCACAAATATAAAACAAATACAAGTGAAATTTGAACACGTCTTCACACTACAGCGCCAAATCGAGAAGATTGGATTCTACGGTATAGAGGAAGCCAGTTTTACCAGGAGGGTGTGTCACATTCCTACTGGTAGAGGGTTGTTGCATGCTACAGTACAGCTGTACAACGATAAACATTTGGGGTAGGTGGGAGTATCAAGGCTAGGGGGAAGCAAAAAAATTTGTGCATATAGAGAGCAGCACTGAATGAGAACAGCTATTAAGTGAGAAGAGGAAAGGTATCGTATTGATAATGTGACTGTTCTATACACTGGCTTAAAGCAGTATTAGGTACACAGTTAAAATTTTCATTTACATTTCAGACACAGAGGTGAAAAAAATTTTTTTTTAATTACATACATGTAATGAAAATAAAAAGAAATCCATGCCACCATTAATTTTTCCAAGTCCTTACAGCAATTCAAAATGTGCACCACTGATCATGTTAGAGCTGAGCAATCAGTAGTATTTGCTAATCAATTAACTGATGGCCCTCTTGATCAATTACATTCAATTAGAACAATTACCATCTCCCTCTAATCAGTAACTCCAAAATAAAGTTAGTTGTGAGTACTGTCACCAGTTTAACATTTAAAACAAACTGGCAAGCAAATACAAAGAAAAAATTTTGATTACTTGGATAGTGGGAATAATCAAAAATAGTAATAATCAGAAACTCTAATTTCAATTAACTTTTTATTTTTGTAACAATAAACTTAATAATACTTTTGATTAATCAGTTGTTGGAATAACTGAAAATGCTAATTTTGATTATCTGATTATTTTTGTGATGATTGATATAATCATAATTTTAATTAACCAATAATCATAATTTCAATTAATTGATGATTTAAATAATAAATGGTGGTTACAAGGTCGGTCAAATTGACCATATCCATATAGAATTGAAGTAAAGAAAATAACACAAAATATAAAGTTTTACTGCAAAAAACATTTGATATTTATTTAGTAGGCTTTAGTGGTTACACAAATGAAATTTTGAAATGAAGAAAAGCGTTTATAATCTTAACATAAAAATTACTTTGTACTCAAAGAACTCAACACTTTGATTTCATATATTCACAGAAAAATCTTTAATAAAATTACTTAATTAAAAAATCTGATTTTTTGTGTACAAAAGACTTGTAAAGTTTTCTGAAAGCACCTGTTAATTGATTAATGTCATTTAAACTAATCAATTAATTGAAATTACAGTTAGTTTAAATCAGAAGCAAAATTTTCTTTCCAAAAGAAGGGAGGACAGTTGCTATATCTCTGCAGGAATAAACTCTATGGCTCATGGTTATTGCTGTTGAAATGCAAAACAATCCACAGTTAATGAAAAATGAGGGTAAAATGACCCTCTTGTAATTACAAGAAATAAAATAAAACATATATATGTGTTTTTCTATATATTTTGTACTTACTGTTGATTTTTGTTTCGGACTTCTGCATACTCTCAGTACACATCTCATCTGTAAGGTCTGGTATATGGACTTCTCTCATTTTTCTTGTTTTCTTTCTCCTAGTTTTCCCCTCTGTTTCAATGCTATTAACACTTTCTGTGGCTCTTTCATCTGTCTCAACACTCTTGACTGATTGTTCTTCAGATTTCACAAATGTAATATCTTTATTATAATCTCTGTAAATTTCGTCATTCTTACCAACACTTAAAGTGTCATTAAAGCTTTCAATATCTTCAACTGTAGTATTCATACTGACGCATGTTGGAGAGGTTATTAAGTCTGAATGTCCCATCCTTCTTTGTGTTTTCTTTAAGACTTTCTAGATACAACATAATATAAAACATGTAGATGTTTATTGAAAAAATTTGACCCACCTATAATTTTTAATATTCTTTTATCAATTTTGAAAAAACAAACTATTCTTTTTTAAGAATATTCATAATAATCTTCTAGTTTCATATTTTCAGTGTAAGCATACTATCAACTTTATGTTTGACTTCAATTTATAAAACTTTATTTCTAATTATCATATACAATTAGAACACTAAAGCCAAAATCATGTTACATAGCTTTGGAACCAATGAAACTGCAATAAATTTTTCTTTTAAATAAAAAAAACACTTTCTCATATTCATACCTTCAAAAATAACATACCCTAAATTATTAATAGTCTAATTGTGAAGAACGTAATACACGGGCATCAAAAGTTGTAAGAAGAGGTACTGTAATCTTACCAAAATTTCATTTTTTGTTAAACTTTTACCATCTAGTAGTATCCCAGTTGTCACAGCATCTAGGCTAACAAAAGTAGATGTGAGATACCGATGATCTTTATGGTAACTCAGAGGGTTGCCAGAAAGCCACAGCTGGAAATATTCATAGAACATGTTTTCTGTGTATTAAACTGAGAAACACTTTACTTTGTAAAGATTATCAAATGCT